TGTATGGAATGACATCGGCAAAAAAATGAAAATGCTCACTACATGCGAATTGAGTGATGTCAATCTACATAATCCTAGACTTGAAAAATAAAGTCGACCTGCGATACAAAGCACTATTTCTCTGTGTCCCTGATTTTATTTCGTCGCGCGGATTTTGCTTTTACGATTATCTTTTTATTCATCTCTCATACTGCAATGAGTATAGCTTAGATAAATGCCCTATTTGGTCAAAAGAAGATTGATTTTTTTTTGTTTATGATTTACGAAAGTTAGAAATTCAGAATCTAGGCAAGCTAAGTTAGTAAACAGGTGTAAACTAAGCTCTAAACTAGACGTACCTTGCCGTCTTTACCGATGGTGTGTGACGCATTATTTATTCTTGTTATCACGCTACAATAAGTTCTCCTGGGTCTTTTCATTGGATCCGCTTGGTCCGAGTCTTCTTCCGCGGACGAAAGATACTGCTGACCTTTTTCTGTAAACATAAGAGACGGAAATAACGAGGAAGACAAACCACGAACTCAACCCCCTCAGGGTTGTATTCTATAATTCACAAACATTTTATACCAGGAAAATGACATCGCATTATAGTGTAATCAAACTTACTTAAGTTTTTCTTTAGATATGGCGATTCAAAATAAGATTGTAGAGGCCTTACACCACATAGGAAATAAAATATCTGCTTGGGAAGTCAACTAAGCTCGCAAGTCGAACTCACTTCCACTCTACCTTCCTAATCTGCGTAATATGCCCTTGAGTAACAGCGAGTTCTTAAGGATGCGTGTGAGAAGAAGGAAACGCGCGAGAAGAATGTGCATTTTTCTCTCTTGGGGAAGACTCATTATAATAAGTTATCTTTACTCGAGTGATTACGCAGGCTCCCCGCGGACCAATCGCGCGCGACCCACGCCCTCTTCACTTGAGTGCATTCCATGTCTACAAAATAATGCAATGGAATGCTATGACTTTCTAAGTTTTCTATAAGCCATGCGCACCCTGTCTTGGCATGTCGAATTAGCGTATTGTACTTTAACTGTTACATAAGAAAGCATCACTTACCCAAAATATCCCAGATGAAGAAATTGTTACGGAAAAGTCGGGATGACCTAAAACCACACTGAAATACCTACAAACATAAAAAAATAAGGTCATTTTCTCAATTCTTTACTTACCCAAATTATATTGTAATCGAAAGGGCGACAAATTACAATTAACAAAAGTACCAATGTTACCTGCTCCAGTGCTTGGCAGAGACCTCCATCACCACATAATAAATAAGTGAGGTTTCCTCTCTGAAACAGAATGATTTACTTGAGGTTCAGACAGTTTTACCAGATGAACAAACAAAAAAAAAATCAAACAAACGGAAAATGTTTAATTTTTAAAAAACTTGACCGTCACCTCTTTCTCAGGCTTGTAGAAATGTTTGACGATGTTGTTGACGGCATCAGCAACTCGTTCTTGCACTTCCGGGATACGAATCCCTAAAAAGGAAAAGAAAATGATTCAACAGTTCAGATAACGGATACTTCCGACCGCTTTCACCGAATGTGGAATCTGGGGAAAGGAGAAGGTACCACTAGGTACTCTTCAAACCAACAAAGTTCCTCAAATTGCACAAGTCAGTGCTGCATTTTCTTTGCACTAAAATGCACCATAATTTTCCACGAGCTAAACGTACTGGCAGCCAAATGTTATTGTGAGTGTTTGCATAATTACACACATTTCAATGAACCCTTTCTCTCCCAAGATCTCATTAGCAATTCTCCTTTCTATGTGCTATAGTTGTTTTGATGTTAGTTTGGAGAATTTGGTGTTGGATCAACTGATAATCCCCTGATTTTCTTTTTTCCTTATTCTCATTAGTTGTCTGATTGATATTGTAGTGATATTGTAAGGAGAAATTCTGTCTTGGTCACTCATGGGAGTTAAAGGGTTAAAGTATCGGATACAAAGTCATGGGTTGTAAAAATCGGGATTTCAGAAATTAGGTGGTGCTAACCTACTAGTTTATTGAGCAAACTCTAGCGTGCAACTATTAGGTGTTAGCTTAATTAAGAGAGCAAAAAGCTCCATCAACTTACTTTGAACTAGTCTCCAGTTTACTTTGAGATGCATCATAAGACATCAAGGGTCGTAATTGATCGAAAAATCAATTTGGGTAAAGGCCGTCCGTGAACCAAGGACGTATAAAGAGTTCAGGCTGTGGGAAAACGAAACTTTGAGAGCACGATAGAACATACACACTTACTTTCGCGGTTTTTCCTGGAAAGTACAGGGGAACGTCTCTGTGGAGACAAGCGACAAACTTCTGCAAGGTTACCATCTGATAATCAAAAAAGAAAAATGTTTAGATGATAAATAACGAGAGTAGTAAATAAAAAGTTTTCTAAACATTTTACGACGAAATGCGGGTGGGATAAAATTGAGATTACCAAAAAAACATAAGTTGGACCGAAAAAAAAAAAACTCTTCCTAAAAAAAGCTCGACGTTTGCATGTTACAGAGTCCAGGATTCATTTGCTGGGCAACGAAAGAGACAAACACTGTAAGCTTTAGCAAATGAAACACAACGGATTCCTGGAATCTAGAACCCCCGGGGGGACAGTGAGAGGTCACGGTCTTTCAAGGCTTGGATGCCTACGTAGCTGGCGGCCTTGTGTGCGGTTTAAGAGATGTTTGGGACGGAAAAGTAATAAACGATACGTAAAAAATATTGATAAACGCTCACAGCCTCGCTCTGTCGCTTTAAAGCGCACACAAAATTTAACATTAAGCAAGTCCAGTAGATACCAACTTCTAGTGCGATGGATAATTTCAGGGTAAACCTTAAGTGATGCAATGCTTCAGGACGCATAAGACAACAAAGGCTAAGAAATTGGACACCACCTTATTTGAGACAACGAGAACAAAAAAGGGGAATCCCTCAGGTTTACCACGGTGCTCTAAAGTACTACAATTCGAATAGCTTTATAGCAAAGATACAAAAAATATTGTGATCAAAAGGTACAGATGGTGGTGATATTTTTAGATACTGGTTTCATTTTTCCAAAAATTCCCTTTTGGCCGCATTTGAAGGGCGTGTCAGAAGATATGTATTTCCGCACAACCAGATGTTCCAAAAATAGCATGCTTGTTTTGCAAACAATCCAGTCTGCACAACCTCGTCATTTCTACTTAAAATATTGGATTATCCCGTACGAAACCAGTTTATAAAGATGTTATTTCTGCCTGAGAGTTCAAATATAAGCCGAAAGAAATGCATTATTATGGGTCTGTTATCTTATTTACCCACGAAAAACAGAAATAATCAGCATTAGAAATAAAAAAGGTAACTTCTTTTCTGAATTTAATTTTTTTCCCGTCTCTCTCTCTCGCTCTCTCTCTCTCTCTCTCTCTCTCTCTCTCTCTCTCTCTCTCTCTCTCTCCCTCTCCACCCAGGTGCGCGGACAACTTAAAAGAAAACATAACAACAAGAAGGTCCTTAAAAGGGGAAAAAAGTACCCTCGCATTTCATTTGATTCTGAGCTTTTTCCTGGTTTAAGTTTTATTATAGAAGTACTCGCCTCTATATCTACCAGTACAGTTTTTCTCAAACTACTTTCAGGTGATGCAATATAAAATACTAATATCAAGTAATGCAGCACACGGATTACATCACTACATAGACATTCCTTGTAAGTGTTGGCTAAATACGGCACTTAGCGATTATGCTGATTTGCAAAATAGACACATTCTATTGACGGCGCAGTTTCGTGTCGAACCGGAAGTCATAACATTATTGGAATGTTAACTGAACTAAAAGAGGTTTTTTTTTTTTCTTTTTTTTTAAAGCTGCTTATATTCTAAAATAATCGGGTAGTTGTTTCAAAAAATAACATCACTTCACTCCAAGTGGAAGATCATTAGGGCTATACCGCATCCGTGAATTAAAGTGACGGCTTAGCTCATGTGATCCAAATGTTGCAAAACATTGTAGCAATATTTAATCGCTTTCACCATACTTACAATACTAAAAGGACTAAAATATACATATGAACAAGACATAGAAGAGAACGGAGGACAAGGGTGCAGGACACACAACAGAGCGAGGCTCCAAATTAAGTGTGCCCTTACGAGAAATACAGAATACTTTATAAGATGTCATTTCTTTGTAACGAACAACACGTCTTGAAACAGATGGGGTCTTGGAAAATTGCCTTTTCGCGATCATAATTTTTGAGATTTGCGCGACACTGATCGTTGTGTGACGATAAAGACACGACCACAGAAAAAAATCCCAGTAGACAAGGCCCCTCATGCATTCCTTCATCCATAAAAAAAAAAAACAAGAATAATGATGTATCTGAAATTGATTTCTAATATCATCTCTGAACAAGTTACAACGAGGAAAACAAGAAAATGTTTTCACTGATGCAAAAGTAAACCGTATAAAACAATAGTGTTTTCATCAAAAAGCCCCCTTTAGACCCTTCGCATGATAGGCGCGGAGTCCATCATTAAACCTCACTTCTGGTTGAGAGAAGTTTAACGAATTACTGGATAGGGAAGATTGCTTCGAAAGCCTCTCATATATCACAATCATATCTAAGCGCTTCCCGAAAGAAGGACAGTTCTCTAATCTTCCTGGCTCACAAAAAGAATGAAGAACTGATCGAGGACAATTGCTGATGAATGCTATTTACCCAGTTAATAAAACTGTTAGAGAAATAGAAATCGAAAGTTTTCCTGTACTCCTGAAAAATTGAAAGTCACCTCTAGAAATCAATAAGCCCAGTAATGTAGTGGGAACAATGTAATCTTAAATTTCAAACATTTTTAAGTTAAAACTCGGCAAAAAAAGCAACAAAATATTTCAGTGTAAAAATTTCTACGCTCTGAATGCATGATGCTATCTTAGTTCAGAATTTGACCTTACATGTGATAAGGATTAGAAATTGAAAGAAAAAAGTCATAGGAAAGACAAAAACTGCACACTCACCCAATAATTTGACTTTGAATAATTTAATTTTTTATTAAGATTGATACAAGTACAATGTTGCATCATTTAAATTAATCTGTACAAGTAATTTCCTATTTACAGCTATTTACAAAGTCATTCATTTAACGCAGCACAGCTCCTAGTATTTTCGAGGAGTTACATCACTTATTAGGACATCTATAAAATTCATGACTGCAGATAAGTCAAATAATATCACGAGTCGTGAATAACTTACTTACTCAGCAGAGCGCGACACCGGAAACTGCCACGTGATGAGAATTTCATGGAATACATCTTTCTTTGTTAGGATAATGCATTAAGGATGTCATTTAAAAAATGTCTTTTTTCCTCATTCTTGATCTATTTCTTCAGGGCTATTTACAAATAAGTTCATATCATTTTAAATAAGTTAAATTCTAAACGAGAGATGTTTAACTCGCATAACCGTGGATTGGGCGCACATGACCGTGGAAAAGTGGACATTTGTTATGCCCTAAAGGCGTTGCGCAACACTAGCGACTCTTCGCAATAATATATCAAGTTCAACACGAAATTTTGACGTCGTGAGCACAGATATATCTCTACTAGTTGTCTATTAAACCTTAAGTCCATATTCTTAACCGCAAGTTCCTTATTGAAATTCCGTTTCCTCGCATACAGTTAACTCAGGAAACTGCACAATCAGGTTCACTTCGTTTCTTCTTTTGTCCCTCCTTCGATATACTTTGACTATTGGCAAGTGCAACTTGCGCCAATAAAGCAGTGAAGACACCGCTAACGTTCACATTGTACTTGGCCGAAGTTTCCGCCAAAATACAGTGTTTTCCGCGAGTGAGTGTGGACGCGATGGCACGACTCACTAACCGCTTGTCTGTTCCTGTGGTCAGATCGCACTTGTTACCAACAAACACCATGGGTACATCTTCTGTGCCTTTAGCCTCGTAGATCTCTTGCTGCAGTTTCACTGCCTCTTCAAGTGAAGCAGAATCGACCACTGAATACACAATAATGAACGCTTCTCCGTACTGAAGTGTCAGTCTTTTCATGGCAGGAAACTGATAGGAACCTGCCGTGTCTAACACTTGCAACACTGCGCTGACACCTCTTCTCAACTCGATGGGCTTCTCGTACAAATCCTCCACTGTTGGATTGTAGCAATCTGAAAATTCATTCTTGACGAAGCGCGTAACAAGCGACGTTTTTCCTACACCTCCCGCGCCGAGAACAACCACATTGAAAACGTTTCGTGGAAGCGGCAACGTGTCAACCGAATTTCGCCACTTTTCACCTTGCTTCTTGATTTTTGCCTTCATCTTCGTGGGCGTAATGATTCCAAACAGAGAGGCCACGATTGATAATAACAAAATTCCCTTATTCTTGCCACTCTTCTGTCCACCCTAAAGTTTTTGGTGTTTACTCAGCGATGTCCAATACTATCTGTGATGAATTTGCACGACCTGTATTTATAGGGTCATTCATTCTGATCTCCGCTTGTCATCTTTGTATTTTTAGCGTGGGTAAGTAATACGAGAGCGGGGAAAACGCTGAATGGTTTTGAAATGATCTCTGGCCTCAGAGGGAATGAAAACTAGACCGCAAAGATAACATCGTAATCTGATACATTGTCACAGCACAATTTAACTCCAGACGATAGATCTACACGTTAATTTTTAAAATAGGAACTACCCAGCATAGTTTAAAGGCATTAAAGTATTTTTACTCGCACACGAGTAATGCAAAACATATGACTTTATGGTGCAGTAAACGTGCAGAAATGTGAAGTGAAATAAGACTTTTTGCATTATTTCGAATACAACCTCAAGACATTTACCACTTAAAAACAGGGCACCTGGCTAGGTTTTCTTCCGCTTTTATGACGTAAATGTGACGTTAGTATGAACAAGCATATTTACTACTATATCGGGCAAGTTTGTACAGAGTTTCTACACTATCGTCCAAAACAACGAACCCGACTTCGAAAGAAAAATCCATTTAAGACATATGAACTGTTTACAGCAAGATAGGTATGCAAGGTATTAAAGAATGAGCCAAAATCACGGAACGATATTGGTTGCGCATTCATGCGAAAACTGTGCAGTTTGATAAGAATTGAAGGAGTACAGGGTAATCGAGGTTCTGTTTTTCCCGGTTTCAGAAACAAATGTATCCTTCTTTACTCAGTATCTTTTTCCGGTAAACTCCCTTTGCTTTCAGTGAGACAAAATTTTCCGCATTCCATAAGCACACAGCTTACAGCAAGATCAAGCAAGCGCGAGAAAAGAAAAGAAAGAACCGCTAATGAGCTACATCAGGGTTCTTCCCTTGAAAGCGATTGGCCTCGGGAAAGGAAGTTGTAATGAACTTTTGAACTTTACTCAAGTTTGTAGGAGAGAAAAATAAAAATCAGTTCGTTAGGAACGAAAAACAAACGAACAAACAAACACAAAAAATAAATAGATAAAATAAAATAAATAAAAACCAGCCATAAAACAGAACCAAAAAGGTAGAAGCAAACATAAATTGTTCAGGATGAGAAGATTAAGAGGAGATTCGCCTGACGAACGTAAAGTTTCAGGAGGGTTTTTTTTCTTTTTTCTTCTTCTTTTTTTTTTTTTTTTTTTTGATGAACAAACCGTGACATTAGGGACTTCATTTAGTCGGAGCCTACTTCCTTACTCTGTAGCGATAAACTTGTAACTATTTTTCCTCTCATTTTAGTTTGAAGATCAAAAGATATTAATACGATAACCATGTGCGATGTTGAGACGCCTCTGAATATCTGGTCAAACTAGAAACTTCACCTCATGTTTACAACCCTAATAGCTCAGACACAATACCCATAGATTAGGGATTTCATTTAGTCGGATCCTACTTCCTTACTCTGTAGCGATAAACTTGTAATTAATTTTTCTCACCTTTTCGTTTGAAGATGATAGTATATAGATATGATAAGCATGTACGATCTTTGAGGCGCCTCTAAAAATCTCGTCAAACTAGAAACTACATTTCAAGTCTAAGTTCCGATTGCTCAAACACCACCCTATTGGGCAAAATTAACCCACAAAGCTCAATCATGTCTGCACTCACTTTGAAAAACACTTACCATGAAAAAAACCTACCTGCCCATCTTATTTGAGGAATGATAATGCAGTCTCAAAAAAAGACAATCACCCTGAAACAATGTCCACAACTATGTTATCACACTCGAAAACCTGGAAAAAATATTCACGACATATTCGGTATGTCCCGCACAAATAAACATGAACTAAGCTGAGCTATTCAAATATTTTGTTGACAACATCGTTCACTTCAAAACTAACTGCACCATCTGGTTCTCGTGGGTGTGAGTAGACAATCACGTAGCATTTCTGAGACACTGAACAGAAGATTGGAGGCCGTTAAAGAGTCGAGTTGCGGGTCCCCTGACTTTCCTTTAATGTAGTTGATTTTCCAACTCTTTGCACGTTTTACATGGATAAAAATTATATCACGTACCACTAGTCTTTACGCCCTTATTAGAATTGTTTACAAGAAAACGACCATATTTAGACACTGAATTCGGTAAAAATGTTAAAAACGTATAATTACAGGTGGCCGGAAGCTGCAAAGAGTAAAGAACATGTTCAATGCTATGATATCGAAAAACCTGCGCCATATTGACGATTCCGTTGACATTTTTGCCGCACGAGAATTTCCCCACGTCAACATGATCGCAACCATGAACAAAACTTTTCATTTGATAATTTGACTGCAAGATCTTTTCTTTCAAAAGTAATCGAGAAAAGACCACATCTTTCGTAACAGGAACAACAGGAGACGCCAATGGTAACCCTTACCTACAGATTTTTTCAGAATCAAGTGCACTTAACTGTTTGCGCTGTGTAAAAAAAAAGAAACCAAAAAACAACAACAACAACAAAAAAAACAAGAGGTATGCCCCTTTTGAGGCTTGTAGTACAATAACTTCACCTAGTTAGCATCACGGGGCAATCGCGCAGGGTTTTTCAAGTAATAGGTGGGGCTTCTTTGCATTTGTCTATGAAACTCCCCTAAAAAATGGCTGGTGACCTCTGGTTAAACTCTATTTCAATTTCATTACTGGCTATGAAATCGCGCCATGGTGGATTCACTGTTTCGAAAGACTTCAGACTTCATCATGCGAATATTTCCGTCGTAAGTTCCTCACTGAGTGTTCCTTACTAACAGCTCAAGGCCTTGCCAAAATTTACAGAAGTTATAATTCACCTGAACCTCACGTTTGCAATGTATTTCCCGGTTAACAAATATAAACATTTATGTCACAATTTATCTTTAACCAAAACATCCTCTTAACAAATCAAACCAAAATACTTTCAGATCCTGTAAGTTGCAAAATTAATTTATGATCGGTAAGGAAGTGTCAAATCAAGATTGTGAACTGTCTCTATCGCATAACAAGAAGGATTTCTTCATTCTCTGATCAATAGCTTCCTGCGAACTTAATTCTTCACTATTTTCTAAAATAATCCACTGGGCCAAAAATCCATGATCTTCACCCAGTGTTTTCACTCTTATCATTTTCAAGAATGCGACGCTTAACTGTTGCCAAACATACTTTGAGGATTAGGTTCAGGTTACAAAAATTTAAGTTATTGCAGCAGAATTTTCATCGCGGTATAAGTGACTTACATCAAAGAAAACAATTACTCCAATTAACCTCCAATAGATTATTTTCTTTGACTCGTCAGCTAGGACGATAAGGAACGGCATTTTCAACAAGTTTTGAAGAGAACACTCGGTTTCGTTTAGCAAAGAGCATCATATCAACGACAAAAGATGGACAAGCTTTGGTATGGAATAAGGAGGAAACATTCAGCGTATGGTGTAGATTAGTTCAATTCTAGCTTCTGAGGATCAAGTCGCTTTACAAGTTTACAAATCAACAACAAAAATAAACTAATTAGCGCAGACTGAACTCATCCATAAAATCTCATTTAGAAAACGCAAGACATTTGCGCCTTTCTGACCGGCTAATCTGAATTATCAAGTACTGCCTGTTTATATTGGCCTGCGTGAGATGTTTTGAAAGCGTTCATTTGGAACTTCTTTTAACCGAGTGTTCGAGGTAACAAACAGTAAGAGATCTGGTAACAGAGAGAATCCCGACATGGCAGAGATTCAATCGAATCGAAGACGAAGGAGATCTCCAGGCCAAGAGCAGATGTGTAGCAGTTTATTCGTGTCGAAAAACTTTTCAGGGACGACATGTCATGATTATCAAATGAAAATAAAAAACGGTTAGGTACGACATATAAGGAATAAAATTGAGAAATTATCTTGGAGTAAGTAAAGGTATGAAAACAAAGGAAAGAATGTACATAAGTATATGAACAGTTTCGCCGCGATGGAGTCTGTCTAAGCGCAAAAAAATAATAATAATGAAAAGAGTATTTTGATGGAAATTTCAGCCACGTACAACGTGAACGTTGGCGGTGTCTTCACTCCCTTGCTTGCATAGGTTGCACTGAACAATAGTCACAGTGTGTCGAACGAGGGACGAGGGAAGAAACAAAGTGAACCTGACTGTTCAATTTCCTGAGTACACAGAATGCTAGGAAACGATATTGAATGAAGAATTTAACAAATGGTAAACACCACAGCATACACTATTGAGTTATGGATGCACGCGGGAGGTTGCTAAGCACGAAAGAAGCGTTAGAGTCGCTCGAGGCGATAGCCGAGAGCGACTCTAGCTTCTTAAACATGACTACTGAGTCTTATAAACTCGTTTATGCCACGTCTTCTTGGTGCTTTGTAATTAGCTGTAATTAGTACATTATTCGAACAGTCTAATCTAATGGTGAAACATCATAATTAAGTGGAACTTAGCAAGAAATCAAGTAATTCAACATCAAATTATTTGAGTAACGTTCAGTTTTTGTCGTTCTTGAAGAGGCCTTACAATTCATGTTTTTCTTTCATAAGTAGGCTTCACCTAAAGCCGGAAAACTGCTCACTATATTTATCATTTTTGACATGTGTTAATTTACGGTTAAAATGATAAATAACATTACATCGTGCATTCAGAGAGTATAAGTTTAAAAACTACAATATTTCATTAGTTTCAGCTGAGCTTCATTGGTGGAAAAGTTGTTGGAATTCAAGGTTGCAGTACCGGGGTTGATTGCTACATATGAACCATCCCCAGTCTGTACAAGAATATAATTATTTGAAAATATTGAAGGGCCGCAGCCAGGATGAAACATAGTTGAACATAGTTGGTCTCCCGGAGAAATGGAGTCATCGTTGTTGATGTTTACAGAAAGCCCACTCATACAGACATATACTTAGATTTTAATTCCCATCACGATAGACAACACAAGGTCAGCACAGCATCAACTCTCCTGCACAGGACTCTAAATCTACCCAATTGCTCCGAAGGAAAAAAGCGTGAACTAAATTATGTCCATGCAGCTTTGGAGTCCAACGGCTATCCATCTAACTTTATCCGCAAAAACACACAGGATAGAAAAACTCGATTCTCAACAACAAATGTATCCCCAGAGGAACGTGTTGGAATGTTTTTCAAGATGGTTGAACCAGCCGAGTCACACACGTCTTTCGATTCTCTTCCTTACATCAAAGGAGTAACTGAACCTTTGACACGTGTCCTCAAAAAACATGATGTTACAGTTGTAAACAAACCATTTACCACTCTACACAACAGTTCCCAGCTCCAAAATTCCGACCTTCGATGGATCACAGACCAACGTCGTGTATAAAATTCCCTGTGCAAATTGTTCGTGGTGTTATATTGGGGAAACCAGTACAGCCTTTAATACCCGAAAAAGGGAACATTTGAGAAGTATCAAAACTGCGGCCAAAAGTTCTAGAATTGCTAATCACGCCTGGTCCAACAACCACGCGATTGATTTTGAAAACGTGTCAATTATTGACAAAGGCACTTTTAGAACCAGAAAAACATTAGAAGCGTGGCATACCAGAGTGACACCTAACGCAGATAAGAATTCTTGCCCGTTACCTGGACAATACAACATCCTTTTTTTACAAATATTCATAATCATTTACATTCTCATCATTTCGCAGTTCATGTCTTTATTTAAATTCCCTCATCGCTTGCTTATCATTCATTTTACCCGTCGAAGACTGCAGTTCGGGCAGTCGAAAGCTCGTAGTTTTTTTAATAATTTTTTCCAGAGATCGTTTTTAAATTTCAACAATATAATTATTCAATAACGAGATGCGTTCAGTCCGTCCTTCATGACCTCGAGCCGAATATCATCCCGTCTGACCCTCCCTGAATCGCTTAG